GTGTGCAGCACATTTTATGGAGGACTGTTTACTGATCCTGGGAGAGTAACGTTAGACTACAATGCCGGCTGTTCTGACTCACGTAAGTACGTTTTAATTTAAAGGATTTGCCACTGATGATTCAGACGTGAGTTTTGGGCAGTAGAGTAGCACTTCTTGTTTGTCATTTCTCTAATCACAAATCCAGACAGGGTTTTATGTTTACGCGGCACGATGCAATGCAACGCGTAAAAAGACAGTGTAAGTCATTATAATCAGTAATTATGTCTCCACTGGATGCAACAAATGCCTCGTTTGTAATGGGTTTTAATGTTGTCTCGTCGCTCCGGCCGGACACGGCATCAACAGTATGTGAGGGGCGTAACATTTCCGTCTCACGCTTGAGGTATTCGGCCAATCACAACGCACTGGATAGCTGGCAAATCACAGCACACCTCCCTTTTTCAGACCGATGAGCTTTGTAAAAACTTTTGAACTTTAAACCGCATAAACACATTACACCAACTACACAAAATAATGTTATTTTTAGCAGCATCATATGACCCCTTTAAGTCACATGACACCCAGTCTTTGGGCCTCCCCCGAAGAGGAGGAAAAAGAGAGAAGGACAGCTAAGCAGTCAACATCTGCCACTGCTGAAGCATAACAGACCAAATCCATCTCAACAAACAAGCACACAGAAAAACTACTTTCAGCTTCAGCATGTACATCAATTATGAAACTTCAACGCACATATACAAATATAAAACACAGAGACACGTTTTACCTGTTCTCTTTCCCATTTTGTAGTAAGGAGTGTCTGTCGGTGCTCGTACGATCCGTACACACGTAAGTGTTTCTACGGGTCATGGCACTGGCAGGGATGTTGTTCTAAAGCATGAAACAGGAAGCAGGTGTTACAAACCAAAAAAGATTAATTTAAACAGACATACTATCCTAATATAACCAGCTTTTCTGGCACAGTTGTCCTCAGAAATTCATGTATTTTCTTTTAGGGACAAGCTGTTTGGGAAACATCACTTTATGACCAGAGAATGTCGATAACGAATGTGAACATGTGCCATTATATCCCAGGGGTAAAACTGTTGTTATTGAAGCATTTGGTGTACAGGAAGTTATGTAACATTTTAATGGATGGCACTTGAACTGCATGATTTATATTTTCTACTCTATTAAAGGAATAGTGCATCTAAAAATGAAAATTCATCATAATTTACTTCTGTGGAAGTATTCTAGCATTATTATAGCAGAATGTCCAGCTTCCCTTTTCCACAGAATGAAAGTAATTGGTGGCACTGGCTGTAAGCAAGGTTAACAGCTTAAATTTCAGGTGGTTCCTTGCATAAATCTATCATATGGCTTCAAAAGAAGTGCAAAAGCCCTAAGAAACAATTTGAGAACAATCATGAATAAACTCTTTAAAAATGAATACTGTAATTAATATTTCCTGTAACAGGATGTGCATGACTTCCTGTGCTTGCTTACCGTTGTTGCATTAATGTCTTTGCGGCGGTCAGGGATCTCAGCTTTGTTGGGGTTGTTGGCTGTGCTGACCATGGGGCTCGACGGGGGGATGCTACGACTGCCCACCACACTGCAGCTGGCCTTCCTCGAGGGCAGACGTTCCTCTTTTAGATCCCCCTCTCCTGTACTGGTGGGGCTTCGCTTGGGATGGGTTACTGGCACTGATGGCCCACCTGACAAACATTACAAATGAAAGACAATTATAAATAATGTTAATAATAACAATAATAATAACATTAACGATAATAAAGATGTTGTTATTAATTTTTTAATAATAAATATTCTTACTAATATGAATAATTATGAACCAATTCTATTAATAATTATACTGATATTAATAATTATAGAACTAATATGTTCCACTCTGAATATATACTACTACTACTACTAATTATTGTTGTTAATATCAACAGATATTAATATGATTAGAATTTTAAATTAATTTATTTATTAAATGCCAATAATAATAATTGTAATGTAATTATTATTAATAAACTGATTTTAATATGATTAATATTTTATTATTAATAAAAACCTATAATAATAATAATAATAAGAATAGCAATAAGAATACTAATAGTAATTTTATTTTTAACAATAATAACTGTTATTGCTATTGCTATGTTAATTGATAATAATGATTAATATTTTATTATTAATAAATGGCTATAATAATTGTTGTTGGCATATATAACTGATAAAATAATTTTTCATTTTTTTTTTTTTTTTCATTTTTTCTGGTGATACTTTTTAAATACATAATTTAAGGCTATAAATAAAATCAAACTATATAATTGGCAGACCCCAGCAGCACTACCATGGATCTCCTGTGAAGACCTCTGATCTAGGCTATTTATAAAAATGAAACGATCCATGAGGGATGTAGGGACTCACAGAAGTCACTGTGCCTCCTCTGGCGGTGGTAGGTGGAGGCACTGCGCTGGGGTTTAGTGTGGCTGGAGGCAGAGGTGGAGCTGGAGGAGGAGGTGGAGGAGTGTTTACTGGTGCCATTCGTGATGGGACTGGGCCGCACCCGTGCTAGAGACAGACTGCTGCTTGACCGGGACTCCATGCCATCCTATATGGAAAACATATAAGATATTACACACTTATAGCATAGCACACAGGCTGTTCTCAGTTCAGCAGTAATACCTATCTCACCTCATTCTTGCGGCCTAGCAGCAGATACGTGGCAAATATCTCATTGTACTTCTGTGTGCTCAGGGCATCTTTGATTTCATCACGAGTGTAACCCATTCCTACCATCACATCTGTATGAACAGAAAGAGCAAAAACAATTAACGCAAATAAAAAACAAGTAGTCATTTAGCATTCCATTTTAACCATACTTGAGCAATATGGTTTTAAGTGCCTTGCTAGGACGGTTTGAAACCACCTTCTGGTTACTACAATGCAGAAAAACTATAATTTTTTTTTAGTAATGTCTTATGTATGAGAAAAATAATTATAAAAATTATTGGGGTCATATGATACGATTTCAAGTTTTCATTTGTCTTTGGAGTGTTACAAGCTGTTCGTGCATATGTAAGATCCGTAAAGTTGCAAAGACTAAATTCTCTCAAACCCAAAGAGATATTCTTTATTAAAGTTATGACTCGTCCACAGCTTCCTAAAATGCCTCATTTAAAAATGCCGCCACATGTCTACGTCACTGTGTTGGATGATTTGTATAACACTGCCCAAATGTTTACACAAAGAAAGAAGGCGTAACTTTTATTCTCACTGTAGTATTGTTGCCGCCACTGCCTTGTCGTGGAGATGTTGTGTGTTTCCAAATATGAGGGTTTCCAAATATAAGGGGCGTAACATTTCCGTCACACGCTTGAGGTATTCGGCCAATCACAATGCACTGGATAGCTGGCCAATCACAGCACCCCTCGCTTTTCAGAACAATGAGCTTTGTAAAAATTGACACGTTTCAGAAAGGCGGGGTAGAGAGGAGCAACAATAAAGTATGGTATGTGGAAAATAGTGTTTTTTGAACCTTAAACCGCGTAAACACATGGCATTACACCAAATACACAAAATAATGTTCTTTTTAGCAACATCATATGACCCCTTTAAAAACAAGACACATTTTTCTTTGAGAAGTAAAATTGTGAAAGGTAAGCTTTTCTTAACAGAATATAAAGTATGTACGTTTTAAACGTTACAGTAAGATTTAAAATATATTAAAATATAAAAGTTATTTTAAACTGTGATAATATTTCACAATATTACTGTTTTACTGTATTTTTTATCAAATGAATGCAGATTTGGTATGCATAAGAAACTACTTTCAAAAAGATTGAAAAATTGTACTGACCCCATAAGTTTTGAATGGTTTTTAAAATTATGTTTATTTTTCTTACTTCATTTGCAAATTGTTTTAATCATATATCTAGGGAAATATTGTTTTGATAATGGGGTAAAAAAATTATACAAAATGTAGATTTATTACTTAAATATTATAAAAATATTTAAGAAAAAAAATATTGACATCACAAGCATAAATGTAAAAGATACATCTTGTTATGAGTATGTTTATTTATTGGAAAAACAAAAAACAAACAAAAAATAATTAAGAATACTACTTTATAAAAAGTCATGTAAAAGGGGCAAAAGGGGAAGTTGTGGCAATATTTATTACCTATACGGCTGCTGTCATTATAATCCTCTACAGGCTCTACATGAGGCTTCAGCTCGTCGTTTTCGTACCCGACATTGATCCACTTATCTTTCATGATTTGCTGAAAGGGATGAACAGAAAGTCAGATAGAGTGAGCAAAAGACTGCAAGATCCATGCAAACTCAATAAGATGTGTTATCAGCTGAGATGGTGGATTGCGGGTCGCAGTTGCTCCTCCTCACCTCCAGGGTGCAGCGCTTGGTGGGGTTGAGCACGAGGAACCGGCGCAGGATGCTCTCACAGTCAGTAGACATGTAGAATGGCACACGGTATTTCCCCCTCAACACACGCTCACGCAGCTCCTGAGGGAAAAACACAGACTTCTATTCAACACCAAATCTAATTCTGAACCAGTCAGCCACCGAATCGCCCCCACGGCACAAAGAAACAATCACAGCTCACTTGACCTACATTACTTGAGAGCAAAGCATTTCATAAGAGCAACTGCTGCACGTGTGGTGTCTTAAAAAATGCCTCAGATTTTGTCTCAGACTGTTCAGAATGACACAAGAGAGACTTTACATTTAATATTAGTTGTGACTCAACATTAATAAGTTTGTTACAAAAGTAAACAAAAATGTCCTTAAAAAGTTGAATGTTTCAACCAATGAACATGCAGTGGCACTTATTTAATGTAGATTAATTTCTATTATCCTCAATAGATTAATATCACCGTTTTTGATAATGAGGAAAATATAATAGAATCTACCAATCAGATATGTTTTTTTTACTGAAATATAGACAATACATACAGCCCTTAAATAGAGTAACTGACTGATATACAACAAATAAATAAATAATTTTATTGACCAGAACTATCATAGTGCTCACAAACTATGGAAATATATACACATTGAATAATTACAGGACATTACAGATTTTTATTTATTGTATTTGCTGATATTGGATTTATATTGGCCAATATTGTATATTTAACTGTGTGCATTTCCATTTCCCATAATTTAATGATCACTTAATATATAAAAAATTAAAAAACACTACTGAATGTGACCCTGGGCCACAAAACCAGTCATAAGGGTCAGTTTTTTAATTTTTTTTCATAATTTTTGAGATTTATACAATATTTGGATACAACAAATAAATAAATAATTTTATTGACCAGAACTATCATAGTGCTCACAAACTATGGAAATATATACACATTGAATAATTACAGGACATTACAGATTTTTATTTATTGTATTTGCTGATATTGGATTTATATTGGCCAATATTGTATATTTAACTGTGTGCATTTCCATTATCTTTACATGTACATGTTTTTTTCCCATCATTTAATGATCACTTAATATATAAAAAATTAAAAAACACTACTGAATGTGACCCTGGGCCACAAAACCAGTCATAAGGGTCAGTTTTTTTTTTATTTATTCATAATTTTTGAGATTTATACAATATTTGGCCAAGATACAACTATTTGAAAATCTTGAATCTGAGGGTGCAAAAAAAATCTAAATATTGAGAAAATCACCTTTAAAGTTGTCCAAATGAAGTCCTTAGCAATGCATAGGTTTTGATTTATTTATGGTAGAAAATTTACAAAATATCTTCATGGAGCATGATCTTTACTTAATATCTTAATGATTTTTGGCATAAAACCACATTACAGATTTTTATTTATTGTATTTGCTGATATTGGATTTATATTGGCCAATATTGTATATTTAACTGTGTGCATTTCCATTTCCCATAATTTAATGATCACTTAATATATAAAAAATTAAAAAACACTACTGAATGTGACCCTGGGCCACAAAACCAGTCATAAGGGTCAGTTTTTTTTTTATTTATTCATAATTTTTGAGATTTATACAATATTTGGCCAAGATACAACTATTTGAAAATCTTGAATCTGAGGGTGCAAAAAAAATCTAAATATTGAGAAAATCACCTTTAAAGTTGTCCAAATGAAGTCCTTAGCAATGCATAGGTTTTGATTTATTTATGGTAGAACATTTACAAAATATCTTCATGGAGCATGATCTTTACTTAATATCCTAATGATTTTTGGCATAAAACCAATACAATGCATTATTGGCTATTGCTACAAATATACCCGTGCTACTTATGGTTTTTGCGGTCCAGGGTCACAAATGTAATTTTAAACAAATAGCAAAATGAAAATCTATTTTTTCATGCTGAACATTAAAATGCTGTGATATTAAATTGACTTGTAGCATTGAAAATGTTTGATTTTAGATTTTTGTCCTTTATTTACACAAAATAGTACAGACTGTTAATGACGGCCATTCATCAGCCATAACATACAAATGACTACTATCTATTTTAGGGAGAATTTTAATATCAGTGCAAACAAACCTACCACTCCTAAAAATATAAAACCAAAACATGTATCTATGTAAATATGATTGTTGGATGACTTTTCGATATACTCATACATCCCTGCACTCTTTTACAAGGCCTTTCTTTCTTTTGTTGCTTATACTGAGTTGATTAATTCACCTTGAGGTTTTGTCCATCAAAGGGCAGTGATCCGCTGACCAGTGTGTACAGTATAACCCCCAGACTCCAGATGTCCACCTCTGGCCCATCATACTTCTTCCCCTGAAAGAGCTCTGGAGCGGCGTAGGGGGGGCTGCCACAGAACGTGTCCAGTTTACTGCCCAGAGTAAATTCATTACTGAAGCCAAAGTCAGCAATCTTGATGTTGGAGTCTGCATCAAGCAGGAGGTTTTCCGCCTGAGTGAGGTATAAGATGGGGTATGCGACCATGAGCAGGAATTTAATAGTTTTGCGCATTGGGGATATTTTAAAAGGGAGCAAAGTGTGTAATGGTAAAGCCTTCACTGTTTTATGAAAGCTCCAGAGGCAATAAAAGAACATATAAGTCATGAGAAAGAACAATAACCTTCAGGTCCCTGTGAACAATATTCTTCTGATGACAGTAATGAACTGCAGACACGATCTGAAAGGGAAACACTGACACTGATATCTCTGACACAGGAAACATTTTATAGCAATAAAAAAAATGGTAGCATCTTTAACACATTAAAAACGGGAAATACAGCTTGGGTTTAGCTCCTTTCAGATTTTCATACCATCAAAGGTGAACAAGTTTCAAGATGCATAGATTATGAGATATCTTACCTGTCGGAATTTTGCACGCCCCTCCTTTTCCTTCATTCTCCCATGGGATACGAGGTAGTCAAACACTTCACCTATCATAGAAAAAAAATTGTAGTAAAATTTTAAAATGGTAATAATATTGTATTTTAAAAACAATTCAATTAAAGGGGTCATATGACGTTGCTAAAAATAACATTATTTTGTGTATTTGGTGTAATGAAATGGGTTTATGTGGTTTAAGGTTAAAAAAACACATTATTTCCCACATACTGTACATTATTGTTTCTCCTTTCTGAAACGCGTCGATTTTTACAAAGCTCATCGGTCTGAAAAGCAAGGTGTGCTCTGATTGGCCAGCTATCCAGTGCATTCTGATTGGCCGAATACCTCAAGCGTGTGACGGAAATGTTACCTTACCATACTGTGATGCCCTGTCCGGCCGGAGCGACGAGGCAAAAACAATAAAACCCATTATAAACGAGGCATTTGTTGCATCCAGTGGGGACATAATTACGGATTATAATGACTTATACTGTCTTTTTTACGTGTTGCATTGCATCTCGCCGCGTAAACATAAAACCATGTCTGCATTTGTGATCAGATAAATTACAAACTACAAACGCTACTCTACACTGCCCAAAACTCACGTTTGAATCGTCAGTGGCAAATTCTTTAAATATGAAAACGTACTCGCAGACTGTGAATCAGAACAGCCAGCACTGTAGTCTGCTCTACCAGGATCAGGAAACAGTCCTCCATAAAATGCGCTGCACACATCTGAATATTTGGGTTTGAGACTTTAGTCTTTGCAACTTTAGGGATCTTATCTATTCACAAACAGCTCGTAACACTCCAAAGAGAAAGGAAAACTTGAAATCGCATCATATGACCCCTTTAAAAGTTCAAAGGAAATTGTTCAAACAAATCTCAAAACAACATGAAACTAAGCCAATAATTATTTATTTTCATTTATTTTGGTCGATAGCTGATATCACAGTACTGTACATACTAGGCATACTGTACATAGATTTGCACAAAAAGATTCAATTTAAAAGTTATAAAATTATTAACATCATTAAGTAAGAGTAAATTAAACAATTTAATGCTCATATATAAATTAAACCATTTCTAATATTGGTCAACAATCCATATGGTACAGATACCTTACATAAAACTACATAAAAGTATGAGAAAAGATTAAGATAAACACAGATTGGATGGAGAATGGATGTCACTAATATAACTCATCTAGATAAGTTATGGACAATCAATTGGGAATTTCCTGGCTAATGAAGTTAGCTACTTAATACCCAATGAATGGACGCAATGTTTCATTCTGCTACGTATTCACTGACGACAGAATGAGACTCATTAGAGGAAGGGATGGATAATGAATAAGCTTCCAGTGAGATGTAAAGCAGGGGAAGGAAATAGCGACGGCACATTGCCAATGTGTAGTATAAGCTAGCGCTGTCCATACTCTCACACGTGCATCAGCCTCATCAGATAGATTAGGAATGGAAACGTGATTCATTAAGAGAGCAGCTGATCCAAGCTCCATGAATAGGATGGGCTAAAGTTAAAATAAGCCTGATTTGACTATGAGCATCTTTACAAGCATCAAATCGCTCTAATTGCTGAGCTGTGTGGGAAGGAAGGGTAAGATGAGAAGAGAGATAAAAGATGAAGCCCATGCAGCTGTGCTCAGTGCAGAGTCTGATTAATTCGACAGTCGCACACATGCATGTTTATGTGTGAACTCGTATGAAGACAGGAGACATGTGTGATTATTCATGTAGAAACTTATCAAAGCTAGACTGTTCATATTGTATTAATGAGAGACAAAGCAAAAATGTAATTTGTTCATTTTTTAGGAGTAACAATAATGTCATTTGCTACATTGAAGTAACTTTTTCTAATACAGTGCATGTGTGTATGTTGAAGTAGGGAGGAATCGTACCACCGCTGGCATATTCCATCACAAGGTAAAGCGTCTTCTCCGTCTCAATCACTTCAAAGAGCTGAACTGTAGATATAAGAAAAAGTAGATAATTTTACCATGTGCAAAAAAGTAATAAGTAAACTGAACAATAGAGAATATGTGCCCGTTGTTGACTCCTTCAAGGAGAACTTCACCCAAACATAATTTTAAAATATTTTCCTCAACATAGCTCTCCAATCTCATTTGCACCCAAATTGGACTTTTTTTATTTTTGAAGTTGAAACAAAGCTGACATAAATACAATATAAATATTAGATGAAAAACCCAAACGTAGAAATGTTCCCTTGGCAACTAACTGTAATAAAAAATAAGTACTACAATTACTAAAACTTATATAAAAATAAAGTAAAACTAAATAAAAATGGAAAATATAAAAATAAATCCAAATTAAAAAATGTATAAACTGTATGTAACAGTATATAAATAATTAGGGCTGGGCGATATGGCCAAAAAAATGATCACGATAATTTTTTTCATATCAGTCGATATCGATAATTATCACGATAAATGTAAAATCTTTATTTCTTTCAAGTTTAAAGCCAGATTTTTGCTCCAAAGTGAAAGTTGTAGAAACCAGACCATTAATTTTTCTTAACAAAATAAATATCTAAATATAAAAATGTATTTCTTAGTTTCTGTATGTTCTAATGAGTGATATTGTTTCAAAGGTTTGGGTTGCCTGATAACATTAATAATAATAATATAACTTTTTGTCTCTTAGAAATGCACATTTGATAGAAGTTTGAGTTAAGATGCAGAGGTAAATATTTGTTCATTATCAAAATCAGTAACATCCGTAAAAATAGTAGCAACCTCTGTTTTATACGGTTAAATTTATTCTGACCAAGTTTTTTTTTTTTTATTAAGCATCGGTCTCACATAGTAGCATACATTTAAATCATGATAAACACAGTTAAAACCACACATATAGCACCTCAATACCATGGTAAAAAAATATAACTATATGGTTTTTAAGTAGCCTATTTGTATTAAAAACAGTAGTCTAAAAATACGCATCTTCTCTAGTGAGCTTGCGCCGCGCGGCAGTTTGAACTTTGATCCGAGTGGATAAACGGTCCATTTGGCGCGATTCAAATGAGTTGCGCCGTTTCGTTCCGCTTTTGGCGCATAAACATTTTATCGAACTCTTCATATCGTTTTATCAAGGAAAATTACATCACGATAATTATCGTTATCGAATTATCGCCCAGCCCTATAAATAATACTAATATAACACTGCTACAGATTCAGAGTAGTTCAGAGATGGTCAGTGTGTTTTGAGAGGCCTCAAATGTCAATATTTTGTCTCTACTCTGACATTCTAGTGTAGTAAACGTTCACTCAAAAGCATCTAAAATACTCACCTATGTTTGGGTGGTTGAGGCCCTTCATTATCCGTACCTCTCGAAAGAGCTGATGAAAATTAAAGACAGAAAGTAATCAGTAAAATTTGCAAAAACTTTTGTTTAAACAACAACATTGAAATATAGAGAGCATTATAATTCATAACATATAATTAAAAATAAATATAATGAATACAATTATTTATATATAATTCAATCTTAATATAATTTGAAAATAAATATAATTAATCAAAGCATTTTCACTAGTGGTCTCAGACTTTCAGATCCTCTATTCGGTCATGTTTAGTGGTTGATAAACTCAACTCTGTCAAAAACATTTCAGTGATTACATCAATAAAACATCAGAAGCCACAATGACCCTGCAGAGACTGATGGATGGGGATTCATCAGTTTGTGCCAATCCATAAATAGCATTTACACCGAAACCCATGATAAATACAAAACACAGCCCACTCTCTGACACAACCCATGGTGCCGCCTGCTCAGAGACCAGCCTGTCCTTTCTAATGGCAGTTAAATTGAACGGAAAAGGGATCAAGCCAAAAAAAGACCCATCTTGTGACCAAACTTTGTTTCTGTTGTCTAGGACATCGGAGCTCTGCTGCAGCATGTCTGCAGCTGAGAATCATGGTCTTGTAGTACGAAGCTGAATCGCTGTTACACACAAAGAATTCTTCGGATTTGTAACATTTCTGGCCAAAACATATTTTAAATACATGCTAAATAAAGTTAAATCATGACAACTCTCAGAAGATTTTAGCATGGTTATGGATATGACAATGTTAATGTATTTGGTCTTGTCGGAATAGATCTGCTAGGCTGCTGCTGAATTGCTGCAGATTATTGCTGCTGCTGCAAGATCACAATTAAAAGAGCCAAAGACTTAAACTACTTCAGTCTGTGTACACTGAATTTATTTAATACACGAGTTTCACAATTTGAGTTGAATTACTGAAATAAATTATTGAGATGCACCTGTACAGGAACTTGCTACTGCCAATGCATATGGTGATACGGTGCCGTGCGTATTTAAGACATGCTGCTGCTGCACAAATAGCATTTAAAATAACCTGTAGCAGATCTATACAGGTGGAGCTGGGGAAGTGGAGTGTTTCAGAGAAACTCTGATAGCGCGCTGCAGGAATCTCTAGTGAATGCTAGCTAGCCATATAAATGCAAGGCAGTAAGCTCATTGGCTGCATATGCAGCATGAATCAATCAGCTTGTGCCAAGTAATTTAACTCTGAATATCATCGGTTATATTAACAACCCATCAGCCTGCACCATTTCATGACTGAACTATATATTTGTAAACCGTTAAGCTTAAATACATGAAATATATATTGAAATTGAAAATATATTTAGTTTTAACCTTCATATACCAAAATCTATTTTAAAAATGTATTTCAGGGGCATGAAAATACATTTCCAATCATAGAGTAGCCTACATTTAGGCTATAAATGCAAATGTGGATGGAACAGCCTACTAGAGATCAAAACTAGATTTATAATTATTTAAATAAATGTTTCTTTGGAACTTTCTGAAGTATTTTCCTTGCTGATATTTATTCAAACATGTTATATGTTCCCATGAGTTACAGACAAATAAACAAATAAAGCTTTTCTTCAAATGTAACATGCGCCAATTAATTTGCTTGGATTAAAATATATGAAGAGCAAAATATAATTTAAAAATGCCTAATAAATACATTATAAATTTTAAAATGGTGAAAAAATATATATATAAAAAAATTAAAACTTGTGTGTGGGCTTATATGAGAGGAAAATAGTTACACTTTAAAAAAAATTTTTTTTTAAGTTAACTACCTTTTTAAGTTTAGGAAATTCAACTTAATGGCCACGACGAAACGACAAACAAGGTGTGTGAGAACCGTCCGTCTGCTGTTTAAAAGCAGAACTTGATTGCCGCAAGGACCTTGTTTGACAAAAGGAGAGGGGTGGAGAGATGGAGTCAAAGAGAGAAGTGACGGACCAAGAAAAAGAGAGAGCGTGACTCTTTGTCTTTCAGTCACGAAGACTGAGAGTGTATGTGTGAGTTGGAAAAATAGAAAGGTAAGGTAAAGGACAGAGGAGAGAGTGAAAACGCATAAGTGGAATGTGTCGACGGCTGACAACACCATTTGAGCTAACTCTTCCCAAAAACGCACTCAGTCACCCTAGGAGAACGAAAGAGAGAGCGAGAGAGGCCATGTTTTAATTTGTTCTGTTTTTGTCCTCATTCACTGCCCTCTGTGTGTCCCATCAGTTACTTTCCATTTACCATTCGTTTTCATTTCAGGAGCCTGTGCAGCTTCATTTTCCCACCCCTGGGCTAAAACCATAGGTTGACAAAAAGCATCACAACACAAAGCTTAACAAACTGACAGGGAATGAGGGCCAAGTTTACTTTTTGAACACAGTATAAACATAATGATTATGACTGCAGTGGCTCTGTTCCAAATCCTAGTGAGCTGCCTAGAGAGGCAGCATTTTAAGGCATCACATACCCTCTCAACAACAAGGCAACTTAATTATGCTGTCGTATAATTTGTTTTGGCCACATTTTAAGACAGAATCCTGTGGAGAAGACAATTCCAGAATGCACTCTCATGTGGTGTGTGAAAAAAACAAACAAATGTAAGAGAGAAAAGTTGAATTCAAATATACACAATATATTCAGCCTAATCAAAAATATTTTATTTTACCCAATATTTGTGGTATATTTATAATTAAACAGAGTATCGTGTTGTTAGCTTAGCAACATGATAATGTCAAAATGTTCAGGTTAAAACCGTTAAGCTTGAAATATATAATATAAAAAAATAAAAGATAAATGTTTTTTATATATATATATATATATATATATATATACATA